ACAGCGGGGCCTCGGGGAGGCTGCCGGTGGAGAGACGCTGGGTGCCGGGCTCCTGGCTCTCGTAATGCTGGTTGTTCTCAAAGTGCTGGATGATGTTCCTCACATTGCCGGGTTTGACTGCTGGGGCGAAAGCAAGGAAGCATCCCCTGTGAGACCGGGGCTGCGCGCGACTGGGCAGGAGGTGCTGGTGCTGCCGCCCACCCCGCGGCACCGCGGCCTCGGCCGTCTGCCCGGCAGAGCCCCGTCCAGCTTGGGCTGCGGAGGCGGCGGCGCCGGCGGGGGGGCGGCTGCCAGCTTCCTCGGGGAGATGTGCTGAGCCGGCGCCTGGGAGGGAACGGCCAGCCGCCACGGGCAGCCCTCCTCCCGGACCCCCCGGCACCCGTCCGAGCCCACCCCAACGCCCGGTGCAACAACGCTGGGGTAGCTCGGGGGGGGACAAAATAAAACTGAGCACATGAGGTGAATGGCAAACAAAAGAAGAGGCCTTTTACCTTCAACAGGGGACAAAGGGACATGAAATGCTGAAAGGGAAAACAAAAATGAGATGTCAAATCAATCCTGCATTTCAGCAGTGAAGGAGGCAAAGAGGGAACGTGTGAGCTAACGGCATGAGAACTCAAAGCAGAAGGAGAGGGAGAGGAAGGCGGGCACACACACACGTGTACACACACACACGTGTACACACACACACACACGTGTCCACACTTGCTCTCCACCACTTCAGCCCCCTCAGGTGCTGTGGCACTTTTAAGACACAGCGAGCAGCCCGTAAGCCTGCAGGATTGGGTACGAAAGATAAGGCTGGGGGGGAGAGCTCAGCTCTGCTCCCTTCCCACTCCCCTCAAAGCCATCTGGGAGCACGGACGGCTGAGACAACAGGTTTCCAACGAGCGGCTGGAGGAGAGCAGAGGGTGGCTGATGAGAAATGCCTGCTACCGGGTGAACGGGAGTCCCACGGGTGCCGAAGGCCACCCGACGGCCCCGGGCACGCAGACGGCTGCAGATCTCCTCCAAGCAGCAGGGAGGCTGGTGGGTACAGCACCCCAGAAGGTCCCGATACTCACTGCTCTGGGAGGAGATTTTGGGCTTCCCAATGTACTTGAGGATGGGGTTGCGTTTCTTGTCTTCCATGGCATCCTTGTCCTTCTTCGTGCTGCTGCTCTGTTGGGACACCCGAGAGGAGCACTGATAAAAACACGTCACCACGTGGGCCCCGAGGGTGACCCCAACCTTCACCGCGCTGGCTGAACGCCGCGGCGTGAGCCGTTGGGGAAGGGATGGGGCCAGGATCGAGCTCCGCCCTGGCGCTAAGTGGCTCTCCAAGGCACGGGGGAGACGGGGATCTCCCCGGGTTGCCTCAAAAGATCCAGCCTGGCCCCGGGGCGGAGGAGCGGCTGCCAGCAAGCCACCCACCTTCTTGGTCTTGGGGAAGAAGGGCAGCCACTTGTCCCTGTCTGGGAGGGACTGGGCCTTCTCGCTGGTGCCGGCCACCCGGGGCTCCCGGCTGCGGATGCCTGTGTGGTTCATATACGTGCTGAGGGCAAAGGCCATGGGGGAGCTGGAAGAGAGGAGAGCGTGAGGCTGGAGATCCGACACCAGGACAGGGCACCGCAGGCCAGGGGGGGGACAATGGGGGAGGCCGGGACATCCCGCGGGGCTCTGCGGGGAGAGAGGGTCCATCCAACCCCAGGCAGGAGAGGATGCCCGGGTTGGGATGCAGGGCAAGTGAGAAGGGAGGAAAGGCAAGAAGCAGTTCAAGAGGGCGAGCTGTGGCGGCAGGGGCTGGCAGGGGGCCGCACCCGGCACGCCAGGACCCCGAGGTAAGTGTTCACCCTTCCCCAGGGCCAGCCTGAGAGCCCACGGGGATACGCCTGGCACGGGGAGAGGGTGCCGGAGGCCAGCACGGGAAGGGGATGCTCCTGCGACTCCTCTCCTTTTGCCTCCTCAGCTAACAACTGTAAGGCAGTCGCATCTGGACGCGCTCCCCCTGTGCCCCGGGGCCACTCACCTCCTGTCCTCTTCATATTTTGACCTGGAGAGAGAGATGGGGAGGGATAAAAGAGCTTGTTTGGAACAGGCTCCTCTACTCAGCCCCCAGGCAGAGCGCTCGCAGCACCGAGCCCTCCATCCCACCGTGCCCCCTGCCCCTCACGGCACCCAGTGCCGGCTCCAAACTCTCCTTCCCACCTCCAACGGCAAACGTGGATCAAGCAGGATCAAGGAGCAGAGCTAAGCCTGTGTCTGATCCCCTTCCCCACATCCTCGCCCCAAATCCAGGCAGAGAAGGCGCTCCCCCACGTGCAGGGCAGGGAGCCTCCGCGGCAGCCCGGCACTCACAGTATGTCGCCCAGCTGGGCCAGCTGCTTCTCGGCCACTTGCCGCTCCTTCTGGGGGTCCCCGTCCAGGTCCAAGAGGTCGTTCTCCCCGTACAGACTCCCCAGGCCCATGGTGCGCTTTGTTCTGCGGAGGACAAGAGTCAAGGCCACGAGCCCGGGCACCAGCCACCCGCACGGGCAGGAGCCCGTCGAGCTCTGCGGGGCACCCGGGCAGCTGCGTTACCTGTAGTCCTGGATCTGCTCCTGTATCTCGGGCATCACCATCTCCTGAGCTTCAAAGAGGGCGGCTCGGACATCGTCCCCATTCCGCAGGCGAGTCTCTGGGGACGGGAGAAGAGAATCGGTGTCACCAACCATGCTCAGCATGCAAGGGAGAGCGCAAGGGATCTTCCGGCAGCCTCAGGCCCTTGGGCAGAGCAGGGCAGGCAGGGAGACCGCAGAGCCTCTCTGCTGGCCTCCCCCTGCCAGAGCGCAGCCCCCTTGCTAGTTGGTTTCCAGGATGGGACAACCCGTTTCCCAATTTGCACACCCAGGCTGAGACACCTGCCCATAACAAGACCCCCGGGACCACCGGGACCGAGCTGGGGAAGAGCTCAGGAGCCCCAGTCCCAAACCTTGGCACATGCTCTCTAAGAGGGCAACGGGCAGAGTCCCGCAGAAGTCCTTCGGGATCCTGATTTGGCATCCTAACGAACAGCCCTTGTTCAGGGCGAAGGTGCCGGTGACGCCGGCCGTGCAGACCGTGGGTGCTGCGACAGGCCCTTGGCCGCGGCAGCACGACCCAGGAGCCCCTCACTCACCGATCTCAGCCAGGAGCTGCTCAGACACTTTCACTCGGAGAGGCTGGGGAGGGAAGGCAGAACAGAAGCACAGCTCAGCACTGGCTCGCTCTCCCCGTGTAGCGAGCAGGGCTGGCAGGAGCTGGGGATACGGCGCACACGCCAGAGCCACGCTCAAGCCGGCGTGGAAGAGGGTGCCCTGCGCTCCTGCACCGTCGCCCCGTGGCAATTTCCGCAGCCGGAGAGGTGAGAGCTGGGGAATCTCGCACACCGAGCGCCCAGCACTCATCCCAGCACCCAACACCCAACCCCCTCCGAAGCAGCTCAATAGGACCCCGCTTCCTCCGAGGGGGCCCCGGGCCCCAGGAGCACTAAGGGGAGCGCCTGGAGCCCCGTCCTCGCTGCCAGGACCCTCCTCTCCTGCCTGCGCCAAGCTTCCAGGCACCGGGGCAGCTGCAGTTGTGCAACGCGTGGGTACGCGCCTTACGCAACTGCTTGCACCGATGCGGAGGAACCAGCAGCAACAAAGCAATGTCAGTGACAAAAACGCCATTAAACCCCCCCCCCCATCCCCGTGCAAGGGACACGACACCCAACGCCGGCTTTCCAGCTGATCCCCTGCAGGGACGAGGACTCCTGTGCAGGCTCACAGCCGAGTCCTGCCCTTACCGCGTTCCTGTCCAAGAAGATGTTCCAGATGTCCTTCCCCAAGACCCGGGAATCCTTGGTGGCCGTCTGCTGGCAAACGTCCGTGCATAAGTAGAAGAGCTGCAAGGAAGGGAGAGCGGAGGTGGGCAGCGAAAGAGGAGGAAGGTTTAGAAGCAGGGAAGTGAAAGGCTCAGTAAAGCGGCGCCCGTAAGGCCATGAAACAGGAAACGATCGCTGGGGTCTGGGGAGGGCAGCACCCCCCTCCCCGTGCCCCGCCTGGGAGGAAGGGGAGGAAGCGTAACCCTACGCTGTGCTTCCCCCTCACGTGCACGCACACAGCTGTGGGAACCGCGGGCTGGCAGCTGCCTGCAGCAGGCAGCCGCGGACCAGGCGGGTGCAGGCAGCTGCCTCAGCCTCAGGCAGCCTCCGGCAGAAGGGCAACGCAAGAGCTTTGCGGACGGGCTCAGCAAACCAGCACCACCCCGCGCTCACTCGGAGGAAGGGACGGTGCCAAATACGCCGTCCCGTCTGCATCCGCTCCCCCCCCCGCCCCCGGCCCTGCTTGGTGCCCGCGTCGGTGGCACCGGAGGGTCCCTTACCAGGGGGCTGGGATCTGCCTGGGAGAAGATGTAGCGCAAGAAGACCCCCAGATGCGCCGGCCGGGATTTCAGCTTGCCCAGGTCCTGGAAGAGGGAGTCGCACTGCGCGGAGAAGGGACCAGAGGAGAAAGAGCCAGTTAGGAAGGAAAGGAATCAACTCCTCCGGATCAGGCCCGTCCCACAGCTCAGCACCGGGGTAAATCTCCAGCTCCCACACCCCTTTCCTCACCCCAGCCGGGCACTCGCCTCCCCGGGACCAGCCCGTCCCTGGATGTCCCCAGGAGGATTTCTAAACGCCACCGGGTGCCAGGGCATGGGGGCCCACAAAGGGACCCCACGTGGGAGGGGGACAGCCCGGTCCCCTAAGGAGAGGGGACAAAAAGCCAAGAATACTTTGGACACCGTTAACCTCGTTATTGAAATATCCTGGGTCATAATCCTCCTCCGGCCCGATGATGAGGGGTCGTCCTGTCCGGTCTAACCCCTGCCAGGGAGAGGGGACAGAGTTAGGAGCCAGGCGCCCGGCTCTGGGGGGACGCCTTCGCCCTCCTTGCAGCACCCACCCCGCCAGCTCCCGAGGGAGGCTTGGACCACGTCTGATCGGGTCGGGCACCCATCAGATGCCCTGGCCGCGCAGCGGGACCCCCCCACCCAGCCCCAGCCCACCTGCTCGGCAGGAGGGGCGAAGGGGGTGTCGGAGCCCTGCCGGCGATGGTGCTGGAAGAGGCGGGCGGTGATGACCGGGGAGGTTCGCGGGCTGTCCAGGCCGTGGTCGGAGAGGACGGAGTTGCGGTTCAGGGAGATCTGCTCGGGACGGCAACGCAGGCGTCAGGGGACGCGGGGCGGGGGGACGGCCAGGCTCCACGCCGGGGGCTGCCGCCGCCGCTCAACCCACCCGGCAGAGGCACTCGGGGCCATCTCGAGAGCAGTTTCCAGGTCAGAGACCATAAAGGGAGACGGGCCCAGGGAACTTGGAAACCACAAAAACCCAGCAGGGCCATCAGAAAAACTTTAAGATTAGGCCCCCAAGCCAGAAACTTCGGGGTACCCTTCATTTTGGGGCAGTCATGCCAGGCTAAGCATGACAAGCCCAAGAAATTCAGAGCCAAGACCACATTACAAGAAATTCAGCTTCTTCAGATGGCAAACAAATAATTGCGATTGCAACAGCAGGTCCTCGACTCCTAAGGAGGCACGGACCCATCCATCTGGGCTTTTCTCCCCACTCCCAGGGCCCAGCAGAAGTTGGGGTGGGCTCCCCCTGGCCGCAGTAAGCCCGCTCTCACCTCGCTCACGGAGGGGAACCGCTCCGTCCCGGACTCCAACCCGCTGTCACCGTCCTGCGAGTCCAGGGAGAGGCGTCCTGGGAGCAGAGGAGAGACTGACCCGCGTGTTCAGGAGACAGGGACGGGTCTGAGCTGCCAGCACAACTCACCTTCCATCACCCTGAAACCAGCCAAGCCGGAGTCGCCGCACAGCCGCCCCGAATCCTGCAACACGAGGAGGTGTGTTGGACCGGCGGGAATTTCCCCGGCACGTGGGGACACCCGGGCGCGGGGCCAGGGACGGGCCAGCCGCAGCGGCTCCCACTGCAGCAGGTTTTGGAAACCAGGGCTGCCTCCACCGCTGTGCCCACCGCCTCAGGAGGGTCTCCCCAGGCTCCGGCCGAGCTCAGAGGGAGCCGGGAGGATGGCAGGACCCCTGAACCGGGGGTAACCCCACTAATTTCACGTACCATGGAGCCACCAGTCTCCTGGAGGATTTTGAGCTGCAGCTGGCTGACCCGCCGGCGCGCTCCCTCGATCTGCTCCTCCACCGTGGTGGCAGGGTTTCGGCTGTACACCTCGTAGAAGCGCTGAGCGGAGAGACGAGAGGGGACGGTCACACCGGCCCCCCGACCCCGTTAAGCCCCGTCCCGCCGCCCACGAGGAAAGGGGGCTGAGCAGATCGGTGGGACGATGGGCTGCAGCGTGCACAGGTCACTGTGTGCTGCAAGGGCCGGGAAGGCGGGACAGCACCGGGGCAGCACCGAGGGCTGCTCCCCTGCGGCTCCGCAGAAGAAAAGAGCCGTGCCGCCGCCGTACCTGTAACTCTGCCTCCTCCTGCCGCAGCATGTTCCGGAGAATCTGCGTCGCGTGCTTCTGGACTTCGGGGTCCTGCAATTTCGGATGGATGCAAAGAGGGCTGAGCTTTGCTTTCCTCCTGCCCACCGTGCCGGGCGGTGGGGGGACAGGGCAGGGCGGCAGCGTGGACGGCTGGGGGGGGGGAGCGCCGCGCGGTTTGCTACCTGCAGGGGCTTGGGGTCGGTGATGCGCTGCGGCGGAGGGAGCGGCGGGGGGGGGGGGGGGGGCCCTGCCATGCTCACGTCTTGCTGAGAACTGGAGAGCCCCACCGAAGGAGGGGGAGAGCCCAGGAGGGTCAGAGCGACGTAGGCACCGGCTGGAAAAATTTGGGAGTGGGAAAGGGAGGGCGAGAAAGACTTCCATTATTCACCCTCTCAACCTAAAGCATCCGATGGGCATCACAGCATCGGGGTGGGCACGTCCCTGTCCCTGTAAGCAGCGAGGCCACCTCTGCCGTGGCCGGTGCTACCCTGGCCCACCCTGCAAACACACACTGGAAGAACCGAGACAGGTTTTCCCATCTTTTCCCAAGAATCAAGACCTGCCCTTGGGTGGGATCCTGTGGCCTCCCGGGCTGGGGAGGAACGGGGTGCCCCTCTCCGCGCTGCAAGGCTCGTGACCGAGGCTGTAAACACCGATTTGTCTTTTTAGGACCCTGCTACGGGGCAGACCGTCACCCTGTGGGTACAAGAGGTGGGGGCTGGCTGCCACCAATCTCCCTAATAGCCCGATGGAAACGTGCTCCTGCACACCCACACCACCTCCTCCCGTTTTATCCGCAGCAGCCCGGGCACGATGGAGCGGGGCGGCCAAGCAGAGCAGCCGGCCGGTGGGGACCGGGGCTGCCGGTCACCCGGGGTGAGAAGGAGCCGCCGCAGCTCCCTGGCCATACTCACACTTGATTAACTTCACCACTTCGAGGTGAGAGCTGTTAGTCACCATCGTGCCGTTCACCTGGGAGAGGAGAAAGTGGGTCAGACAGGCTGGGGGAGGGAGGGGAGCGGGGCGTGCGGCCCCGCGCGGAGAAGCAGCAGGGGCGACGGCCGGGGATGCTCACCTTGACTATCCGGTCCCCCTCCTGCACGCCGGCTCTCATGGCCGCCCCCCCTGCGACACAGGGAGGAGAGACAGGCGTCAGGAGGGCCGGAGGGGCAGCAGACGGAGCCAGGGGCTCCCCTCCCGCCGGTCCCAGATCGTCCTGGCACAGCCTGTGCAGCTATCGTCCTGCCGGGGGGGGGACGGGGGACACACGGACGGACGGACACGGGGACCACCAGGCACGGTATTCCCCACGGAACAAGGCTGGCGACCAAGCCTCTGGATGCTTTACGCACAACACCCAGCGCACATTCAGCTCACAGCTCATCCAGACAAGCCCTCCTCTGCTCACCCAGCCAGTCCCCAGCCTTCTCCATCCGTCTCGGGATGGACGAGGGGGCCCCAACCTGTTATCCCACCATTCGGGTTGGCTCCGACACATCTAGAGAGCCACCGCGTGCCTGGATCCAAAGGCAGGAGTGGGGCCCAGGAAGAGCAGCACTGCTCTGCCTCCTCTCCCCCTGCCTGCTCTTTAACAAAGCTGCCGAGGTTGGAATACACGAAAAATTCGCTTTTCCTAAAGCCAAAACCAAGAGGAAAATGTTTCCATTAGGTTCAACTCCAAGCCAAGGGCCTGAGACACGGCAGCGAGCTCCGAGAGTGGAAAGTACGTCGGATTGTTCGGATTCTTTCGGCTTTAACGGCCTCGTTATTGGCAAATGAAGTGAGCGGGGAGAGGGGGGACAGGACTCTGGGCTGTCCCGCACCTGGGGACCTCATCCCCGTCCCCCCAGCCAGCCCCGGGGTGAGGGGGCCGATGCGGGGGGCTCCCCACGCAGCTCCAGTTGCAGGAGAGAGGCACTCCAGCGCTAACCTGCCCTTGAAACTCGCAGCGTTTTCCCTTTCCTATATTCTCATTTTTCCTGGCTTTCGGGCTAGAGGGGGGGAAGGGGGAGGAGGTGGGAACATCCGCTGTAAAATAAGCAGCTCATTGTCTATTTAAATTGCTGCTCCAAGCCCTGCCACCCCGCAAAGTCATTATACAGCAAAACCGGCAGCGTCTCCTGCAGCACAGCGCCAAGAGCAGCGAGCTGCTGAATCTGTGTTTACCCAGGGCTACAAAAGGGAATTCCCCACCCACCCACCGTCAGCAGCTCCCCGGGTTGTAGAAGGAGCGGGGAGAGCGCGGCGGTTTTGGGGAGCCTCCCCAAAACGCACCCCCCCAAAAACGCCTGCCTTCCCCCCAGCAGTCGTGTCCTGCCCACCGCGGCCGACGCTGTAGCGAGACCCCAAGCCAGCAACGCTTAGGAAGGAAAACCCCTTTCTCCCACGTTTTCTCAGGAGGGACGTGGCTCTGAGTGGGTGAGGGGAGCCCCGAGGCACCTCCTGCCCCCCCTGCTGCCAGCGCCGGCCCCTCTCACCTGGCCGCACCGACTGCACCAGGACGACGCGGTCCCCGCTGACGGTGAAGCCGAAGCCATGCTGGTCCTTCTGGATGATGACGCAGCGCTGCACCAGACCTGGGGAAGGAGAGGAGGGAGAATCAGTGAGGCTTCAAGCCTGGGGCGTGGGCTTGGCCTGTGGGGACCCCCCGCCGCTCTCAGGTTCAGGGGCTGCGGCTCCTGCCGGCTCTCCCGAGCCAGAGCCCGTTGCAGAGCCCCCGGAGTCAGCTACCCTGCTGCCAGACCCCAAGGGCACGGCTAATTCGCCCTCACCCTACGAGCCCCTCGTGTGATGTCCCTGCTTGGACCCCTTCTCCTGAAAACAGGGTGCCCCCGGTGAGCACGGGCAGGGTGGGAAGAGCTCCTGGCTGCGGGTAGCTGGAGCGTCATCCCTAGCCCTGCTGGGCTGCTTCACCGGCAGCCGAGGAAGGGTCCTGCCCTCCCCAGGCACGTGCAGCCTTGGCCGGGTGACTTTGGGTGCCGCGGAGGGGCACAGGAGCCCCGTCCCCAAGGGCGCTGCAAGGACTGAGGCAGGTGGCAACGTGCCACCAAGCTCCCTGGGCGGACAGGGCACTAAATGCAGTCCTCAAGTGCAAGAGAAGCAGAGGAGGGGGCGGGAAAAGCTACCTGTGGTTTCGGAGGAGTCGGAGGGCTGGCGGTGGTGCCCGGGAGACCTCCGCTCTGAAGACGAATCACCCAGGGAAGACAGGCTGCTTAACCTGCGGAGGAGGAGGAGAGGTCAAGGAGGGGGACAGCTGGATGGAGCCATCCTCCAGCCACAGCTGGGACCAGGGACAAAGCCATCCTCCGGCCACAGCTGGGACCGGGGACGGCTGGACGGAGCCATCCTCCAGCCACGGTGGGACCAGGGACGGCTGGACGGAGCCATCCTCCAGCCACGGCTCCTTCTTGGGCTTGGGAAAAACAAATGCACGGAGCTGGAAGGCGACGGCAGCCAGCACAGGCGAGTGCTGCCCGTCCCTCCAGTTGCCTGTCCCCAAACCGCCTTGGGAAAAGGCTCCTCTCCCTTCACCACCACCGGGCTCCGGGGAGAGCCCCAGAAGAGACCCCGCTCGGGGCTGGGACCCCCGCAGTCTCGCGTTTGCCGGCAGGGAGGAGCGGCGGGGGCTGCCCGGGGCGAGCGGGGCTCGGGGAGAACAGCGAAGGCAGCAGGCGAGGGGAGAGATGCATCACGCAGCGCAGACAGGACGGAGCTCGGCAGCAGGTCTTTACCAGGCTGCAATGGGGCTGATGGAAGGAGAGACACGAAGCAGCGAAGGACGGGTGACAGAAAGACAGACAGACAATGGACAGTTACTTTACGGTCCTGCCCTCTCGCTGAGCCTCGCTAGTCCTGCAGCAAGGCTTTGGATGCTGGACGGGCGCGTGGGCTGGGGCCTTCTGTGCACCAAAGGGGCGCAGCACGTCCCCTCGCTGCCGTGCTGGAAGGACTGCGATAGGAAGGGGGGGCTCGTCTCCAGCTAACGAGGGTCTGGAGAAGTCAAGGCTGGGCGGCCATCCCTGCAAACGCTGCTTGAACAAGACGGTGCCGGCGGGCTTGATGTGTGGGCAGGAGACCCACGAGCTGCGGCCAGAGGGAACAGCACGCCAGAGCAGTCCCCAGCCTTCATCCCTCCTCGGGGGCCTGACTCTGCCTCCAAAGCCAGCTCCATCCACAAAATGAGGGGTCTGGAGCGCTGCCTCCCCTTCCCCGTGCCCCTCCACGATCCCACGCCGCCCCAGGGATGAAAGCCCGGCTCCGCTGTCCTGTCTCTCCTCCTCCCAACCAAACCAGCCACAGCTCTCCCCCGTCGGGGCAGGGCCGGAGGGGTCGGAAAGCAACGGGAAGAGCGAGAAAATGAAGGTGCTCCCGGTGGGAAGAGCAGCCGGTCTCTGCCTTACACCCCGAAGGCTGCGATGAAGCGAGGGTGCAGGATGAGAGCACAAGCAGCCCCGTCCCTGACCCCGCTCACCTGGGCAGGTGAGGCTGCCTCTTGCTGCCCGGTCGGCTGCTGGGGAGGACAGAGACAGGGGCGGTGGCGGTGAGAGGTGGCACAAGGGACACCCGGAGGACAGCGGCGCGGGGAGGTGGGGGGGAAAGAGGAGACAAACAAATCAAGAGGCAGGGGTGTGACACACGACAGAGCGACAGCGCGCTTACACCCCTCGGGGAGGGTGGCGGGACCCAAAAACACCTCCCTGCGCCCGGCGCGGCCTCGCAGAGCCCGCCAGGCTCGGGGCAGGATTCGCCTTCGCCGGTGCAAATCCTCCTCCCGGTTTCACGCCTTCCTCTGGACGATGGGGAGGGGGAGGCATCGACCCTCGGCATCGCTCCTCGGCATTGCCCCCCACAGCATCGTCCCTCGGGCAGGGGGGCTGCCTGGAGGCAGGCCGGGGGAAGCACAGGGGGGGTGTCTCCTGGGCAAGCATCCCCCCTGGCAAGCCCCAACCTGCCTAAAATAACATCCGCAGCGAACCCAGCCCGGTTTCATTAGAGGACCACGAAGCCGGGCAAGACTCTCAGCCCTTCGTGGCGGGGCCGAGCAAGAGGGTATCCCCCCCAAAACCGCCCCACGGGGATGCAAAGTCGGAGCCCGCAGCGGCCTAAACCCAACAGTCTCGCTGCCGTAGCTGGCTCCCGAGGCGCAACAGCTCCCCGGCTCCTTCCCCTCTCCAGGAGATAAATATTAGGAAAACAACTTCATTTAAGGTTGCCTGGACAATCTTAATCCAGACCCGATCTGCACAACCATTATGCCTCTCATTTACTCAATTACGACCCCTGCCTTGCTTGCTGAAGTGGGGGATAAACCAGGACCTTGGCGCGAAGGAGCTCGGGCACGGTCGCAGCCCGGGACGGGGGCTGCGGAAGGGGGACACACGGCCGAAACGTCCCCAACGGCTTCCCCGGGAGCTGGGGGCGGGAATGGGACCGGTCCCCCCCCTGTTTCAGAAGCAATCCAGGGTGAGGACCGGCACGGTTGTCGGTCCAAGGGTAGGCGCAGGATTAACCCCGCGGGATTACCCGGCAGCCAGGCGGAGGGCGCTCGGGGCAGGTCAGACCTGCCGCTTATCCGGGCCAAGGAAGGATCGGCTCCTCTTTCCGCATCACCCCGGACGCCAGGACTTAAGGCCCTGCTACGCAGCGGGACAGTCCTTAAGCCCCTTCGTTAGGGGAAGCTCCCCGGCGCCCGACGGTACCGGGACCACACGCGGCTGAGCCCCCAGCCCAGCCAGGAGCCACCAGTCCGACACCAGTCCCCCACGGGGAGGTGCCAACCCCGCGCCCGTGGCGGGAGCCCGTTTCCATCCCGCTCGAAGGAGCCGGGCCAGCGCTGGCTTATTGCCGTCTAAAAGAGTAGTTTAATTCGGCTTTGCATAAGCTCCTTCCTAATTGACTTACGGAGAGCCAAAACATGCCATTTTAAACCAAACGCTGCCAGCTCGACGGAGGCCTGACCCCGGAGCCAGGGCAGCTCCTTTCGGTGCCCTGAAAGACCAGCCCTCCGGTTTTCCTAAAAATTGGAACTCCGGAACCCTTGCACGATGCCCGAATCCTGCAACCGCCCTTGACTCACCCAGTCCCAGCGCTGGTGCCAGCCTCCGAACCGGCACCTGCAGCCACATCCTACGCGCTACCCTCAAGAGGTTTCCGCTCTGAGGTTATTTTCCCCGATTTTGGCTACTTTCAGTTAAATGACGGCTATTTGCTTTTCACGAACGCACGACGGGAGCGAGACGCTCTGCCTAGCCCGCCTGCAACGGGGGCAGGATGGAAGAGGGCAGCGCGGCGGGGAGCGAGGGGAGGGCACGCCGGGCGTCCCGGCGAGAGGCGCCCAGCCAGGCGGAGGTAGGGACAAGCCAAGGGAAAAAAAAAAAAAAAATGGAAAAACGAGGAGGAAAATAAAATCATCGCGCACGCTAAAGAGCAAAGCACGGCACAGGCGCTGCCACCTTGGGAGCCCCCGCAGAGCAAACGCCACAATTAAAAGATTAAGAGAGGAACAGGATCAAATCCTCAAAGCGGGTCAGCCTCCAGCCGGAGCTTTGCAAAACGCTCTCTCCGAGACCGGGAGCTTTATTTATTTTTTTCCCCTTCCCAGGTCTCCAAACGGCTGCTCCCTGCGATCCCAGCTCCGGGGAAGAGAAAACGTTTTGCCAACAGCCGGAGCCCGCGCCGGCACGCCTGGAAACCCGCTGCCTTTTGAGGTGAGCGGGGAGGCAGGTGGGGCCAGCGCCGGCCTGTCAGCAGGAAAAGTTGCAAAGAAATAGAAATAGATAAAGAAAAAAGGAAAAAAAACCCCAAACCCCAACAAAAAACCAACTTGAAAAGGGAAATCAGTGCCTTGGTGGGATGCCTCTTGCAATTGAGTCATTGCTTCCACCGCAGCCCGACGATACGGTCTGCGCTGCTGGTAGCACCAGGATTACCCGACATCTCCCGTGCCAAACCCTGCCGCCGGCCGCTCTCCCGGCCCACAGCCCCGCAGACGGTTTCACGTACTGGTATTCTGGGGACAGGAAGGAAGGAAGGAATTTCAGCTAAAAAAAAAAAAAAAAAGAAAAAAGAAAAAAAGAAAAATGATTCAGCTTCCTCCCCTTCCCCCTCCCCGCGGCACGGCAGAGGGAAAACGCGTTGGCCCGGCTGCGTCCAGCCCCGACGCTCCTCTCGCTGGAGCGGCTCCAGCCTTGCAGCGGAAAGCCGGCCGGGCCGAGGATGCGCATCTCCCGGGGAACATCCCTCCGCATCCCGCCTCGGGAGCGGGCTGGGTCTCCCCCCCCCCCCGGGGACGCTTGCTGCTTCTCGCTGGGGACGGCTGCAGGGGACGGAAAAGCCGCCCGCCGCTCCTGCTCGGCGGCCGACCCATCGACTGCTGCACGATGACGCATCGGGGAAGCTTGTAATTATGCGTCTGCGTCTAAGTTTGCACGGCGAGGCAGATTTAAAACCTTGCTAGGGTGTTGCTAGCAAATGAAAGAAAGAGGAGGGGGGGGGAAACCCACATCATTTCTCGACATTTTTGGCCGCCTGCAGACGCAGCTTGCGATGACACCCCCCGTCCCCGAGGAGATCCGGCACGTCAGAGCCCGCGTGAAGTGCGGGACGAGAGCAGCCCTCCGGGGACTTTTGGCCGGTGTCGGATCAAGAGCCCGGTGCCTCCATCCCCGCCGTGCCGACCCCGGCGCGTTTGCAGGCTGCGACCCAGCTCCTTCTTCCCGGCGGCAGAGCCGGGACCGCCAGCGCGCTGCCAACCCCAGGGGTTCGGCAGGGCCGGGGCCGCACCGCCGGCAACGCGGCGGCCAGACGAGATCCGGCGCGTCCCCGTGGCACGCAGGCTACATGCGACTGCCAAGCCACCCTGCAGCTGCTGCCCGGCCGCCCGCAAATCCACGAGGCTGGAGTCATCCCGGATCCATCTGGGGTTTATGCAGCAAAGCTTTTCCCTCCCCTCTCTCTCTCTCTCTCTCTCTTTCCCTCTCCCCCCGCTTATTTTTTTATTTTTTTTTTTTTCCAAGGCAGAAAAGCAAAGCAAAGCCTCAGCCCTCAGGAGGCGGCTGGTAACAAATTTCATGTTGCAAATCAGATGCAAAGTCCCGTGTACACGCCACAGCAAACTGAATTTAAAGCCCCGGATTCCTCCAGCAACTTCGTTGCAGCAGACAGGGGATTCTGCAAAAGCTTTGCTTAAATTAAGACTTTTAATTAAATGGAGGGGGGGGGGGGGG